GGTTTTTTTCCCCCATCCCACTGCATCTCATGTTTTTAAATGAGAAATGTACTCTGTGTGATTGGCTTTCCGCCCTTTGTATTAAACTATGCATACATACATGATGCTGTTTTGTTTATAATTGTTTAAGCAACTTAATTATAATTGGTTTATAAACATTATTTTAAACATTATGCACTTTTTTTCACAGATAGTCCTTATCTTATGCTTTGAATAAACGTGCATTAGTAATATTTTGCTCGATGCGCCCTCTTGTGGCCTCAAAAGAGAAGCCAAAAGCTTTTCTTCACCCTAACTGAAATTATGCATTTTAAATTCGAATATAATTCAAATTTTGATAATATTTAAGTACAAAATTTGAATTTAGTTTTTCAGCAATTTTGACAGCCCTGTAGCAGTCATTAGAGTATTAATAGACTGTTAGGTTAGGGTTAGTAAAATAAGTCTAAAGTGCATAATGTCTAAAGTGGACTTTCAAAATAAACTGTTACCTTTTTCTCTTTTTTGGCATTTACTTTAGTCAGTTCTGATTGCCTATGGATACAGCTGGTTAGATTGAAAATAGAGGCAGATGATTGGCCCTCTTTGTTGGATTCTGGCCAATCACTGACGGTCACCTCGGGGAGTTCACAAGTCTGAAACTCGCTTTTGCTCTGTTTGGGATCTCTTTTGCTCTTTCAATCTCCGTTTCTCGGCCTCTCTCCAGTTCTCTAATGCACTCCTCACGGGGAGGTTCAGACTCTTTAGGTAAGTTGTGCTGCAAACATTTGAGCTGTGAGCAAAAGTCATTTGTCTCTGCTGGCTTTGCGCTGGAGAACAGTTAGACTCAGCATTCAGGCTACTCTCTCAGTGTTCACAGCGGACAAACTCACTAACAACCTGATGCTGGACAGCTTTCTCAGTCCTCAGGTGTGGGTTTTGAGTCTTGACTCCTGCTGGCCTTTTTGGGATAGAAATGTTAAGTCACGTTGACAGTACAGTGTATTTCTGAAATGTGCATGTGACTCAAAGTTGTGTCAAGTCCATTTCACACTAATGCTGCTCTATAGGATGCCTCCATTTGGCTGAATTAAAAAAAACCAGCATGTCAGACTTCATGGGAGAAAAGACAATCCCAGAATGCAGACCCTTGTGAAAAAGAAGTACACTTTAGCAAAGAGTACTTATTATGGAAATAATGCAGTGAACTGAATGTGTTATGTAACGTTTTTACACACTTGTTACATTTTAAATTTATATTAAATGCCATTAGACCTAAGTACATGTTTATATGCGATTTCATAATTATATTGTTTTTGAAATGCGTGTACTGCTGAATGTACAGACAAGCATTTATGATAAACTAAAATATACTTTAATGTCATTTCTATTGAAACATGTTTGTCATGAATTTAAATATATTTGTAATTACACATATGTAATGATGAAATTGCAATTTATACTTTTAAAATATATTGACTTAGAATGTAATATCGAATAACACACTAGTTAAATGTATAATAAAGTACTTTACATGTGCTTTAGTATGTTAGTCAACACATCAAAACAAGTGTACTTCATTAAAACATGACAAACTTTATTGACATTTATTATAATCAAATTGCACTTTTTAAAACTGTAATTAACAAACAGTCATGAACGTGCACTTTCTTTAAGTTCGCTTAAGTGGCCTTTTATTTCATTAATATTATATTATCTGCAATTTAACACACTTCTTTTTCATAAGGGTAGTCAAGAAAAACTGGGTACCTACTGTATGGAGACGTTCCAAATCCATCTCTTGAGGTTGCGTTTTGATTAAGGCAGCCTGTGTGGACAGTGACAGCTCACTAGAGTTTGAAACGGAGCCAGAGTGTCTCTGAGGTAAAGTGGAGGTGATTTCTTGTGGTATAAATAAACCGTGCTTGCTTTAGGCCGTGCAGGTGAACTCACAGCAGGGCTGCGATCCAGAAAAACAACCCTGGTTAACCCACTGATAATTTAACCATTCAGCCCTCAGGTAGAACATGAATGCAGATTTAATTACTTTCTGCAGACTGTAGGTTATTTACATAAAAAAATAAAAATTAAAAAAACTCCATGAATCTTACATAGTCAGTTGATGCAATCAGCAAACGACCCTCTCTGAAATGCTTGTAGAAGAAAAAGCGAGACAGATTGCTGTTTTGATTAGTAGTTTGATTGACAAGCTGTTTCCTGAGACATTTAATTGAAGGTAAGTTTGGTATTGTTAATTCTTGCGGATCACAACTCCCAGAATGCACCCGTGAAGGCATTAAAGTCCTGAAGCAGTTGTTTTTGTGTTTGTTGGAGTTATAGCCCAGAGCGTCTCCCACAGTCCGACAGAAGCTTGATCAGTTCAAAAGGCATGAAAGTCCTAGAGCTGAAACTAAAAAATATATATCATGGGAAAAAAAACCCCAAAACAAAACTAAAAAAAGTGCAGGTTGATTGGTTTCTGCTCTGGGCTGCACTCTTCCTGAAACCCTTCTGACTTGAGGTGGAGCTAATTGCCCTCAGCTTGATCTTCTTTCCTCCTAAACATTCAGCTCTTACAAAAACATTGTTACTGTGTTTACATGATCTTGAACATAATTTTATGTTTTGAGATGACTTAATAGACTTTTTTTTTTACTTGCCCTTGTGAAAAAAAGTAGTGCACTTGATTGTATTGAATGTGCACTTGTAGTGTACTTTAAATCTTAAAAGTATATAAAAATTGTACTTGCAGAATATTATATAATATATTAATGAAATAAAATGTGACTTGTGACTTAAAGAGAGACACTTTCATTTTTATTTCTTAAAGGGGTCATATGATGCTGCTAAAAAGAACATTATTTTGTGTATTTGGTGTAATGAAATGTGTTTATGCGGTTTAAGGTTAAAAAAACACATTATTTTCCACATACTGTACATTATTGTTTCTCCTCTATGCCCCGCCTTTCTGAAACGCGTCGATTTTTACAAAGCTCATCGTTCTGAAAAAGCGAGGTGTGCTGTGATTGGCCAGCTATCCAGTGCGTTGTGATTGGCCAAATACCTCAAGCATGTGACGGAAATGTTACGCCCCTTACCATACAGTGATGCCTGCGGCAACCACATGTGACGGCCCCGGGCTGGACTCCGGGCATGACGAAGCAGATATCGTCCTCTTTTGGAAGGCCAAACAAAGTAGTTTCGCTTTCACAACGAAGCACACAGCACCTTCACGACATGGCGGCGGCAGCAACAATACTACAGCGAGAATAAAAGTTACCCCTTCTTTCTTTGCGTGAACATTTGGGCGGCGTTATGCAAATCTTCCCACATCGTGAGGTAGGTATGTGGGGGCGTGTTAGAACGAGCCGTTTTAGGTAGACGTGGCTGACTCTTAACTTTTATAAAGAATATCTCTTTGGATTTGAGACTTTAGTCTTTGCAACTTTACAGATCTTCTTTATGCACCAAGAGCTTGTAACACTCCAAAGAGAAAGGAAAAATTGAAATCGCATCATATGACCCCTTTAACACACTTCAGCAGACTTAAAAAGTCCACTTTGTAATGTCAAATTAAAAGTTTAAAGGTACATTTTAAATCACTGTTTAATAATCTCTTGTGTTTAAAGAAGTACACTTATTTTGATGTGTTAACTAACCTACTAAAGCACATTTTATGTACTTGATTATAATATTAACTGTAGTTTGTTTTTGATACTACATTTTGAGTTAATATATAATAAATGTACTTAATGCAACTTCATTCATCATTGAAGATGCATGTTCAAATATATTTACTGTAAATACATGACATCAATAGAAATGACATTAAATTATATATTAGTTAATCATAAATGCTTGTCAGTATATTAAGCAGTAGATTTTAACCAAATTTCAATAAAATAGAATTATGAAATTGTATTTAAAGATGCATTTAAGTCTTACTTCAGTGGTTTATAAAGCACTCTCGCGTTCAGCTAATTGCATTTAAAATAACTTTATATATATATATAATACATTTTCATTTATATGCAATTAACATGCAATGCAATTAAGTGTCTGAAAACAGTTCATTCTTTTCAAACTTAAGTATATTCTTTTTTATAAGGTTGGTAGGGTCAATGAGAGTTGCAACCAAATTAGAATTGAATTGTCATATAATAATGAATGTGTATTACTATGTTTGTTTGCCTTAAAAATTGAACCATGTTTCTCATCAGAGGTGCACAGCAAACACCTAAACTGGTTTAACTGAAGAGAAAACCCACACAATTGACGCTCTCTACAATATGTTAATGTGAATATCGATTTTTAGTCCATCACATTAGTGCAACATACCCTTTTTCTTTCTCCTCTGTCCCAAACAAACTCTCCGACAGCCATGGTCTCGACCCCGGATAAGAACGCCCGTCCCGTCAGCGCTCCTATCATATCTCCCATCTCTCCAGGCGACATGGCTCCTTCCCCAGTAGCATCTGCCACCCGCACTGACCGTAAAGAGACGTCCATGCCCACGGGCCGTCCACGCTCCACTGAGAGGAAGAGTGAGGTGAAGGCAGATGGCTCCAAAACACACAGCACCAAAGCAGAGGGCACACCTGAAATCAAGGTATGACACACACACACAAATGTGCTAAATAACGTTCAGATATTTTCAGTGAAAACTTAAACAAGCAATTTAAGCAAAAATGCTTTTGATCCTTGAACCATTTTTATAAACCTGCAGCACAGACTCCTACCTGACTTTTGAATTGTTGTGATCAGACAGCAATAAATTAAGAAGCCTTAAGGCTTATTCTCACCAAGATTGGCATAACAAACCAGCGCAAATTAGCAGCAAAAAGCATCTTTACTTGTGACCACAAATGCAAGGCAGCCACGATATTTAGGTCTGTGTGAGACAGCAGGAGTATGTATACTCTCTCTGTGCTGCTGCAGATGGTAGCCCGGCGAGAACGGCGGCACCGTGATGCCCCGGTGGTGATGGCCACCAATGGGGAGAGAAAGAGCCAGGTTTGTGCTCATGATTTCAGCCAATCACATAAGAGCATGTACAACAGTGATTTACCCTAGGAGCCAGGTTCATTAAGATGTTATTATATGCAAAAGCAATTGACCCTTCACTAAGCTCCACCCATTTTGTTTATTTTTGCTTATATATGCAAAAGAAGTATATTAAGTGTATTAAGTTATTAACATTAATGTACCTTATTACACATACGCAAGTCAAAAGTCTGCAACAATTAAGATTGTTCACTGTCTTTAAAAGAAGTATCTATGCTCATCAAGGCTGCATTTATCTGATCAAAAATATGGTAAAAGCATTCAAATTGAAAATAATCTTTTAATGTAATTTATTCCTGCAGGATAAATTGCTTTTGTGATGCAGAGCTGAATTCCCAGTCTCCAGTGTCACATGATCCTTCAGAAATCATTCTAATATGCTGATTTGATGATCGAGAAACATTTATGAGTATTATCAATGTTAATCAATCTTGCTTTTTGATTCACTACCATTCAAAAGTTTAGGGTAAGCACGGTTAAAAAAAAAAAGAAGTATCTATGCTCATCAAGGCTGCATTTATCTGATCAAAAATATGGTAAAAGCATTCAAATTGAAAATAATCTTTTAATGTAATTTATTCCTGCAGGATAAATTGCTTTTGTGATGCAGAGCTGAATTCCCAGTCTCCAGTGTCACATGATCCTTCAGAAATCATTCTAATATGCTGATTTGATGATCGAGAAACATTTATGAGTATGATCAATGTTAATCAATCTTGCTTTTTGATTCACTACCATTCAAAAGTTTAGGGTAAGCACGGTAAAAAAAAAAAAAAAGGAAACTAATTATTTTATTTGGTAAGATGCATTAAAAGGATCAAAGGTAACAGTAAAGACAATGTTACAAAATATTTCTATTTCGCCAATCAAAGAATCCTGGAAAATAAAAATTCCAGGTTAAAAATTAAAATTATTTACCAGGTTAAAAATTATTAAAAATAACACGGTTTCCACAAAAATATTAAGCGGCAAAAATGTTTCCAACATTGATAATAATAAGAAACTTTATTAATAATTGAGCAGCAAATGAGCATTTCTGAAAGATAATGTGACGCTGAAGTAATAATGCAGAAAATTCAGGTTTGCATCACAGGAATAAATTACATTTTAAAATAAGCTAAAACAGAAAACTGTTATTTTAGTTTGTAATAATATTTCACTATATTACTGTTTTTACTGTATTTTTGATCATATAATGGAACCTTGGTGAGCATAAGAGTCTTGTACCTTGAATGTAATGTGAGTCACTTTGGATAAAAGTGTCTGCCAAATGCATAAATTTAAAATGTAAAAATGTAGTGTTGGATTGGTCAGTAATGTTAAGGTGGGGCTTAGCAAAGGATCAATTCCAAAAGCAGCAAAAGCAGTATTCGCGTCGGGGTCCTGATCACTCTGTCAGGGGTTATTCTGCGATAACAACCGGCTGGATGTACATTATCCCGCTTATTACACGGCTACTTGCTACATAAGTAAATAATTAGACACGAAATATTGATTTGAGTTGAAATATTTGAACGCAAAGCTTACGTGAACACAGCAGTTGCGAGCAAGCGGCAAGTTCAAACTAGATGGACATTTAAGAGATACGGTGCAGTTACACAACATTTCACCACATACATAATTATGACGATAAAAGATTTAAGATGAAAATGTTTTAAAATCTTACCAGTTTGTTAGTTATCTTATAATCCAATTACAGCGTACAAAACAATCATCACAAAATGGCAGCAGATGCGTTTGTATGAAATGAGAGAGCAAGTCCGCGATACCAGGATGACGTAATTAAGTAATTGTACACAATTTTGAATTGAATTTTAATATTTTATTAGCTAAACAAACGCAAGACTTACACCAAGAAAAAACTGTTCCTGACAAGAGTACAGCGCCGACTTCAGTTACCCGGATGAGCCTGTGTTATTAGTTTTTACCGGTTGTTATTGAGGGATAACATACCTCAGAATGCCGCGACTGACCAATCAGAATCAAGTATTCCACAGAGCCATGTAATAAGACTTGAATAACAAATCTTCAGCAGATATTTGTGTTAAACTATATATTAGTGCATGCTGACAATATTACATAATATAAGACATAAATGAACAGCTGTGAAGAAATTACAACCATCGTGAATGTTTTTTTTTTTCACCCGTAAGTGAGTAGCAAAGTGGCTTGTTTCATAAACATTTACATGCTCTCTTCCTTCCCCTCTGGGGTCTGAACAGTCGCCACGGGCGGACACAAAGATGGTGCGCATGAGGAAGGTCAGAGCTCATTCCGTACGGGTATCGCAGCATGAGGACGATGCCATTGTACTCATCATCTCCTCACTGCCCATGTTTTACAACAAAAAGATCATTTTATTTTTGTTTTCTCATCTGCTTTGGCTGTATCTTGCTTGCACTTGTATGAGTTTGGCTGTACCAGACAGCACTGTAGCTGTCAGATATGTACTGTACCTATTCCAGGCAGCGACAGTGAGTCAGTACAAACTGAGGTTTACGGAATGAGGAAAGTGTTCATTATGAGTGAAGTACAAATGACTTGTAGCATTTACTCTAGCATGCTCAACTGAAACATGCTGATAATGTATAACAGAACTGCAGAACTAAATCAATGAGATGTTTGCCCTTTATATACACTACCAGTCAGAGGTTTGAACATACCTGTTTTCCCGAAAAAACCCACATCCTGGATGATCCCAGTTGTATATATTTTGAAAAGAGGCAGGGGCCAAGCACCGAACTCTGTGGTACCCCTGTGGTTAGTTGATACCTCATGATCGCCTGAAGAATCTACCTGTAAGGTAGGACTTAGGAGCCTCTCTGCACTTGTTTGTGATGCCCAAGTTGGAGAGGTTAGAAAAGAGACAGTGTCAAAGGCAGCATACAAGTCCAACAAAATAAGGATGGATTATGTACTTTCCACCCACAAAGGCTTCAGTCAAGGCTGTATCTGTTGAATGTCCACTTTGTAATCAAGACAGACAAGTCAAATCCTCACTGATTGCTGTCCAGCAGCTTGTTCTGTGAGAAGAAAGAAGAAAACATCTTGGTCAGTTTTTCGCAGTGAATTGGAGAAGAGAGACTAGTCTGCAGGTGGTCTGGTATTTAATGTTGGTTGCTCAAGTCGGCTTGAATGTGTTGGGAAAAGTGCCAGTGCGTAGTGATGCATTTAAGATGGATGTGAGTGTGGGTTAAAGTGTAGGAGAGATGCCGTGTAAAAGATGGGAGGGAATTGGATCAATGGGGCAGGTGGTAGGATGGTTGGAGAGGAGAACTTTAGAGACCTCTGAGATTTTCTGAGAGAAGAGTAGAGATTTGCATGCAAGTTGTGGGTGTTTGTTAGTTTGTGTTGAGAATTGACTGCTGCTGATTGTTACCGTATCTGTGAAAAATGGGCAAAGTTGTCAGCCATTAGGGAGGATGTGGGAGGGAAGAGGTGAATGCCTCCTCAGTTTGCGAGTGTCTGACGTATTGTGGATCTTGTGTAGTTGAATGCTTTTGTAGAGGTAACATTGGCAGAGAAAGAAGAGAGCAGAGCAATGTGTCTCTTTTCTAATAGGGATAGGCTCTCTAAAGATGTGCTTTCGCCTGACAGCACACGCAGTGTGTCATTCTCAAAACCAGTTGAAACACCTTTCAAACAGACCTAGACTATACATAATTGGCTACATTTTTATACAGAACCATAAGCTAGATAAAGCTATAACACACAATACATTCCATGTGTCTAAGACCACTATCACTTGTATGTGTGGCCTGAGTTGGTACTAAAATTCAGATAAGCACAATGAAAGATTAACAAAATTTAAAATAGGAAAATTTAATTTGACCTTGTTACAGTTTTTTTCTAAATATACTGAAATATTGACTGTATTAAATATATATTGAGATTTGATGTACACTACAAATGCACATTCAATACAATAAGCACACTTCTTTTTTCACTAGATCAAAAACTTTCTAAGACCACCAGAAATGAATATTCAGTCACGTATGTCCAAACCTTTTACTGATAGTGTGGTTTACATACTGCAGATAATCACAAAATTAAGGGCAAAGGCACTAATATACAGCTTATAACAAGACAAGATTTACAGAGGTTGAGCCAGTGTTGCTGGGTCAGGATGCTGTTTTGATAACACCAGAGAGTTGCACAGCAAATACACAGTGTTTCACCAATGATGTCAAAGATAAGCTTAATTTTAACTTGATCTCATTACACTTTCATAACTTTACCCAATACACAATTATCCCTGACCTTGCAGTCACCCCTGACTTCTGACCTCTCCCCTCTGTCTAGCTGCGGCTGCTGCGGTTCATCCATATTTGATTTGTCTCCATCCCTACACGTCCCCACACACTGAATGCAACTACAGATCAAACTTTAAAAATTACCCAAGAATCATTTCACAACTTTCTCTACGTTCAAACACTGCCAACTCTATTTTTTCCCTGTTTTTCACAGAAAAGAGCTAAGAAATTTGAGGGTGAAACTATTTATATCAGACATAGCAATTTAATGTTGGAGGTTTGTATGGAAACTCTGGAAATGTCTTGTTTTTGCCACTGCATGTCTCACTGCATGAGATTCTGTTTCTTTCTTCATTCTTCTCATTGCACTCTCTTTTGTGTTTTGTTTTGTAGCTTAACCCTAAAGGCTTGGCATGCACTATTTACCTCACTAACTGTAATGCAAGTACTCACTTCTATTTATTCTCTGTTTGCTTAGCACTTTTTATTAAATATATGATTGGGAATTTTGTAATAAACGTGTTTTTTTTATTTTTTATTTTTTATAATTGAATGCAAAATTGAGCTGATCCAAACGTAGCCAGTAGTTGGATCACATAAAAAAAAAAGCTTTTTAATGAATACAATTTTGTGTAAATTTTATTTTATTGAACATGCTTTTTACAGCATGTTAGGCTCTTAGCATGAATGTCTTTTATTTAATTTTAACAGTAAACTTTTTGCCTGCTCTTTTCCAGCTTTTCTAAATATTTCTAATGGGCTTTTTCACACTTTAAATGAATGAATAACCCATTTATAACCCTGAGTTATCTTGTTTCCTGATCACATAGGTTATACTTTACCTTGGATTGTTAAATTAATCCTGGGTAGTCAGATTTCACAGTAGAATTAGCCTTGTGGTTTGGCCTACACATTTATGTCATGGCTAAACAGATCTATACTATTGATTGGACAAGTAAAACATGTACAGAACTGTCCACTTGTGAAATTGTCACCACTAATATACAAAAATAGCAATAATACTGTCTCTCATGACCTGTTTTCTGTCACCATTTAACATTTTAATGGTTTCCCTGGGACACTTAAACACAGCAGCTGTACGAAGCACATGGATATGTAATCAGGGAATTGTTGTTTAGTTTACAATTGGTTTTTAATTGCTAAACCTAAACAGATCTATACTATTGATTGGACAAGTAAAACATGTACAGAACTGTCCACTTGTGAAATTGTCACCACTAATATACAAAAATAGCAATAATACTGTCTCTCATGACCTGTTTTCTGTCACCATTTAACATTTTAATGGTTTCCCTGGGACACTTAAACACAGCAGCTGTACGAAGCACATGGATATGTAATCAGGGAATTGTTTAGTGTACAATTGGTTTTTAATTGCTAAACTTCTTGCTGTAACATTCTCCCACCACATTGTTTCACACCGTTTGGCACCACAGATTGGGGTTAGCACTACAAAATAGGTGCAGACCTGCTTCTGAACCAGGATTTCGTGACTCAGGGTTAAAGTGGCCTTAGTCTGGGTAAAAAAAAGATGTTTACCCAGGGTTAAACATACTGTGACAAGCCCATAAATACACTGAAGTCTGTTGTTTAGCCAAATATATAATAATTGGCTGTACATTTAGCTTGATAATGCATGTTTTTATTGTTTCATTTGTTATCAGATCACATGATTATATGATTTGATTTTTTAGTGTTACATATTATGCAGTCTGTACAGCCTGTCCCAGTCATGTATTTAGATATAGTTACTACAAAGGCTGTTTCCACTGTTGTGAGGTCTGATGAGTCTGAAAACCAGATGGATTCTGTGACATTAACCCCTTCATTCACCCATTGACCTCTTCTCTAACCCTGTGACCTCTGTATCTAACCAAACATCATATATAACACTTGTCTCCATCACATACACTATCATTATATTACGTGTTTAAGATTGCTGGTAGTGTTTGAGCCAAGCACTGTTTTGCACTCTGCTTTGTTTCATAAATCAACAGACATGGGCCAAATATCTATCATATGCTGCAGTGAATTATGACAGCATATGATTCATTTAGTGCACTAGTTTTGCATTGGTATAGACCAATTTGTGAAACAGCATGTGTAGAGTTCAGAATCCAGTCATTTGATCCATGTCTGAACCCAAGCTTTGTTAAAACTGCTGACGTGCTCACATGATTATCACCTCATCTATCTCCTCCTCTAATAAGAAATTCTGTCTTTTACAAACCATAGTGAGCTGCCTGCCAGACTAGCTTTTTAAGTAAGCTCCAGCAAAACCATACTTACATCGATTCTTATAGAGCTGACTTTTTACAGCATGTTAGGCTCTTAGCATGAATGTCTTTTATTTAATTTTAACAGTAAACTTTTTGCCTGCTCTTTTCCAGCTTTTCTAAATATTTCTAATGGGCTTTTTCACACTTTAAATGAATGAATAACCCATTTATAACCCTGAGTTATCTTGTTTCCTGATCACATAGGTTATACTTTACCTTGGATTGTTAAATTAATCCTGGGTAGTCAGATTTCACAGTAGAATTAGCCTTGTGGTTTGGCCTACACATTTATGTCATGGCTAAACAGATCTATACTATTGATTGGACAAGTAAAACATGTACAGAACTGTCCACTTGTGAAATTGTCACCACTAATATACAAAAATAGCAATAATACTGTCTCTCATGACCTGTTTTCTGTCACCATTTAACATTTTAATGGTTTCCCTGGGACACTTAAACACAGCAGCTGTACGAAGCACATGGATATGTAATCAGGGAATTGTTTAGTGTACAATTGGTTTTTAATTGCTAAACTTCTTGCTGTAACATTCTCCCACCACATTGTTTCACACCGTTTGGCACCACAGATTGGGGTTAGCACTACAAAATAGGTGCAGACCTGCTTCTGAACCAGGATTTCGTGACTCAGGGTTAAAGTGGCCTTAGTCTGGGTAAAAAAAAGATGTTTACCCAGGGTTAAACATACTGTGACAAGCCCATAAATACACTGAAGTCTGTTGTTTAGCCAAATATATAATAATTGGCTGTACATTTAGCTTGATAATGCATGTTTTTATTGTTTCATTTGTTATCAGATCACATGATTATATGATTTGATTTTTTAGTGTTACATATTATGCAGTCTGTACAGCCTGTCCCAGTCATGTATTTAGATATAGTTACTACAAAGGCTGTTTCCACTGTTGTGAGGTCTGATGAGTCTGAAAACCAGATGGATTCTGTGACATTAACCCCTTCATTCACCCATTGACCTCTTCTCTAACCCTGTGACCTCTGTATCTAACCAAACATCATATATAACACTTGTCTCCATCACATACACTATCATTATATTACGTGTTTAAGATTGCTGGTAGTGTTTGAGCCAAGCACTGTTTTGCACTCTGCTTTGTTTCATAAATCAACAGACATGGGCCAAATATCTATCATATGCTGCAGTGAATTATGACAGCATATGATTCATTTAGTGCACTAGTTTTGCATTGGTATAGACCAATTTGTGAAACAGCATGTGTAGAGTTCAGAATCCAGTCATTTGATCCATGTCTGAACCCAAGCTTTGTTAAAACTGCTGACGTGCTCACATGATTATCACCTCATCTATCTCCTCCTCTAATAATAAATTAGCTTTTAGAAGAGTTCAATTAATGATTTAAAATCAGAAATTCTGTCTTTTACAAACCATAGTGAGCTGCCTGCCAGACTAGCTTTTTAAGTAAGCTCCAGCAAAACCATACTTACATCGATTCTTATAGAGCTGATATTAGCATGTTGCTAAGCTACAGACACAATACTTTAATACATATAAAAAAAAACCTTATCACAATGCATTCCTGGATTGCCTTTTTTTTTGGTAAATGACACATGTGATGTTACCTTACAGTTCTGCCAAAAAAGGTATCTTTGGAGGCAGAATAATGGTGCCAACTATAGCCAAATGTATACTTCGAGTATACTTCGGTTTTTATGTGAATGCTAGGCACATGTGTACAGTGCGTGTGATGTAAATTTATCATTGGCAGATTTTTCTGTACACTCAGCTCGCACATGCACCTTGAATTTTTTGGTGCTAATTATTTGGTCCACAGAATGTGGCAACATTCCCATTGTTTTACAGTTTGTAAAGAAATGCTTTGACAAGTGCTTGTGTGAGGGCATTAAAAGATACCCGTAACTCTAGTTTAAACAAGTACAAAGATATTTTTATCTCCTTAACTTTTGGAGAGAAAAAGCAGATACAGGATAAAGATTTCAAGTGTGCATGTGTTGAGAAGACCTTGAGTTTTCAACAGAGCCAACCAACCCTGTTACGTAGACGGCTACGTCACTCCAACAAGGCGGCTTGCTAGCTAGATGGCTATGTAGAAATTTGGCAAATAAGTTTTTTAATAAATTTTTTTGGTTTAAAATCATTTTTATGGTTTTCTAATAAATTTTAGCATTAGCAGAGCCAAAAACATGCATGTTTCATTTCCACTTTAAAATGTCTAGCTTGGCAGCTCACTAGAGTTTGGCACAGAACCATATTGTTTTACTGCAATCCTTTTTATTTGCTATCAGTTTGCCACATAAGAGGTTCAAACTACTAACCTGTAATGCAATGCAGTAACCTATATAGCTTGTAACTTGAACATTTCTTAAAAGGATTAGGCCACGATGTAAGGAGGAAACAGACAAACATCATGTCTTTTTAGTGTCAGCTGTCTGTCTGAAATCAGGGCTGTAGATGATGAGGGCTGGTTTCTCATGAGAGTGTTTCATTCTTGCAGATCAGTTCTGTCGGGCACCAAGACACAGGTCTGGTTTCTTTCCAAAATCTGTAGTTAAATGAATAAAGATCCTTTGATATTTTAGACTCCAGATGCTTATGAGCTGGTGTAAGCTCTCTCTCTCTCTCTCTCTCTCTCTCTCTCTCAAGCTCATTAATCACAATCTGTCTGTGCACACATGGATCATTTGTTTTGGGCAATCACAAAACCTCCTCTCTGACATGAATATTCAAAGCCTCATAGTGTCTGAGCATATAGCTGATTACCCGATGCCACTGAGCGGAGATGATGGGAGCCAAATCAGGCCGCAGGTAAATATATATATATATATATATATATAATGCAGTTTGAAGACAGCGAACGTGGAAAGGAGAGACCTGTGTCTTTGTGGCCAGCGGGCGATCTGTAGAATGGCTTTGTGTGTGACATTCACTTGACTGAAGATAATGTAACTAAGGATGGGGATCACAGGAAATATACTGATTTTGGTTCCTTAATGATTCCATTAACTATATCAAATGTACTATAACAATTCAGTGAGTGAATTGTTTGGTGAGTTCAAACCCATTATAAACCCATGAGTTCAGGAGTTTTTTGGCTGATTCGTTAAAAATAACTGGTTGAGTCATTCCCACCTACACCGGTTACACTGTGCTTGATGCATTTGATATAACGTGCAACCAGCGAGGACAACACAATACAAATGTGTTATCTAGTTATTGTTGTTGTATTATTTTGTATACACTCCTAAAAATAAACGTTCTTTATCATCATATATGCTGAAGAACCATCCATAGAACCTTTCAATTGCACAAAAGGTTCTTTAGATGAATGGTTTTTTTAAGAACTGTTCACTGTAATGTTCTTGGAGGAACCACTGTGAAAACTCTTTTGGAATCTTTATTTTTAAGAGTGCAGCTCAGGCTTTCTTTCCCATCATATTCAATTCAGACTGCAACCTCTCAACCAACTCTAGATGGAATCTATCGACATTCAAGAATCGTTAACAGAACCAAACATCTTGAATTTATACAGTAAAAATACTTGATTCCCAACCCTAGATGTGATGCCCCTGAGAAAGTTTGGGGTAAAACAGTGCTTCATGTCAGATCATCTTACTAATGAGATGTCTTCATTGGGTTATTTCCCTCTCTTAATTTCTGTCCTTCATCTTTCTGTGTTCTCTTTTTTTTTTATCTCAATTTTGCTGTCGGTTCCCAAATTTCTCTTCTGCTATCCTCATTTATTTTATTTTTTTACCTTTTTGGTGTGCTTTCTCTCCGCCTGGACCTCTCTTTCTCTCTCAGGACGTGGATAAGACACAGACACAAATCATGCGTCATCACACCAGTATCAGCGAGCTCAAGCGAAGCTTCATGGAGTCGGTGCCCGAGCCCAGGCCCAGCGAGTGGGACAAGCGTCTGTCCACTCACTCGCCCTTCCGCACCGCCAGCTTCAACGGCCAGCTGCAGCCCGACGTGAGTACTGGGGTTAAAGGTTATGCTTCACTGTTGGATTTAGAGCCTTTGTATGCCTTTTTGTTGAAGATAAAGACTGACATCTTGATGATAGATTGCTGGTTTTATGAAATGGAGGTAACTTTGGCCATCTATTGGTGTTTAGTTGTGTAGTACGTGTGCCGAAACAAAGTTTCATTGACAGGGTCTCGTGTCAATACAATGAGCACTTTTGGGGAAGAACTAATGATTGGTTTTTCCAAAGTTTGCCAGTTTAGTGGCATCAAATCTTTGGATATTCAGTTTGTTTGAGTTAGTTGTGAGTAAATCAGATACCAACAAACAATGGGTATATTATGCTTTCTTTTCTGAGTTATCTCAGTTTTAAACTTTTGGATGGATTTCAGTGCTGTTTTCAGTGACTGCAACATTTCTTTCTTCTGTGGAATACAAAGGAGAGTTGTGCTGGTTGCTCTTTTCCATGCAATTTGTCCCTGTGGGAAACAGTAGAAAGGATGCGACAATGCCAAAAAGCAGTCTGTATGACACATGCAATACCCCAAATCTTCTAAAGTCATACAAAAAGAAGTATAAATCTTCTAAAATTTCAAAAGTATAAAATAAAAATTTATTTAAACTTAATTTTTTTGTTGTTGCATTTGGTAAGGATTACAAGTTTTATTAAAGGATTCAATTAATGATATTTTTTCACTGATACAGAATGCATCTAGTTGCTCATTGACACATGTAGCATGTTATCTGAATAAGCAGTTATTTTATAAACTCTCAGTGTGTGTTTGTGTTTGTGTGTGTGGGCACGTGTGCACACAGGTGAAGACGCCTCCTCTCCTACCCATACACAGAGTAGCGGGGGGTATATTGGAGGTAAACGTACTCTCATTTGCTCATTACTGCCAGGGCTGTGCAGCAACTGCACCTGAAAAGACTGACGTTTCTTTATGTAGATAAAGAACGACACACGCAGAAGCGCAAATGGCCGCTGGACGCTATGCCCATGGCCCAATCAGAGTAG